GAGGCGGGGGAGGAGGAGGAGGAGGAGGAGGCAGTGCCAGGGAGAAACGCAACGGTAAAGTCCACAAGCCCATCTTGCTACACCAGAACAGCACCGAGGTGTCATCCACCAACCAGGTTGAGGTTCCGGACACGACCCAGAACTCCCCCGTGTCCATCAGCAGTGGCCTCAACAGCGACCCAGACATGGCTGACAGCCCTGCGGTGACAGGAATGAGTCACGTGGCCTCCGTCATGTCCGGCCTTACCCAGGGCGTTTTCATGTCAGAAGTGGCCGGAGACCCCGTCTACAGCATGTCTCCGACTGGTGGCCCCAACGCTCACCTCATGGGTGCTGATGCCAGCTCGCAGGCTTTGGTGCTCTCCGTGACCTCTGATCGTCACAAGTTCGCGTTTGCCAGCGGAGCAGTGGGGGAACCCGGGAGCACGGGCGACAGTCTTTCCATGTTGTCCGCAGCTGGGGTTTCGGAGGAACTGGCTCTCTCAAGCAGTCTGGACTCTGGAACCATCAAGATCCCAGAGACCAACATGAACTTTGACCCTGACTGCTTCCTGAACAACCCCAAACAAGGCCAAACCTATGGAGGCAGTGCAATGAAGACAGAAGGAAGCTGCGCCTCATCCTCCTGCGGGGTCAGCGGTGGTGTCACCGACGACGCTCTGCAGAGCTCTCCCGCCATGCCAGACAATGGCTACAGCTTCGGATCAGCTTTAGTGAAGAACATCAAGACTGAAGACACCTCCTTTGAGCAGCAGCTGGCCAAGGAGAGTGGCTACCAGGTGGGGGCAGTAGTGAACTGTGGTGGCGGCGTGTCGGTGCCACCTGCTACCAGTTCAGGTCAGGGCAGCCTAACACTGAACCCAGCAGGATCCTTGCTTCCTTCTGGTGGTGGTTTAAGTCCCAGCACCACCCTGGAGCAAATGGATTTCAGTGCTATCAATGCCAAGCAGGACTATGCATCCGGCGCTTCTGCCGTGAGCTATGGTCAGGCCATTTCTAGTCCTCGCATGCCACACCAGAACCGTTCTCCCAGTTTCTTCCTTCAGGATGCTTCTCAGTCCAGCCAGGCACAACAGGGAAGGGCCAGCATGGGCCAGAAAACACACATGATGGAGCACAACACCCAGGAAACTGGAGCCTATATGGCGCTGCATGTGGTGAAGGCTGAATCTCCTACTAGTAATGGTCACCTACACCACCACCAACAGACCCAACATAGGGCCAGCTGTAATGGAGGCTCACCAACAGACAGCGGTAGCCAGACTGGATCCCTGCAGCTGCTCCAGTACCGGGGGACTTTTGCTGGGCTCGGCAATGAACACGAGGAGGTGGTGGTTCTGGAGCAGCCGGCCGGTGTGAGTTCTGGCCAGGCTAGAGCGCCCGAGAATGGAGCCGAGAATCTACTCAAGCCAGGAGATCAATTGCAGTCCTGTGTGGCAGGAAACGGAGAAGGAGGCGCCACTGAGCACTATATTCAGACATCAGATGGCGGTGGAGTAGGAGGAGGAGGTGGAGGAGTAGGAGGAGGAGGAGGAAATGGTGGTGCGGCCGAAGGCATGGCACTTCCCAATGGAAATGGAGACGATGGCTGCGATCATATGCCACAGCAACAGCAGCTGCAGCCACTCCTCCAGGGAGCAGGCATGGTCCAGGGACTCTTCAACGCTGTTGCAAGCCACCAAGGCTTGGGGGGAGCCGCCAATAACGGAGGAGCAGGGGGCACTGGCATGGAGATCAGCCTAGATCACTTTGACATCTCTTTCGGAAACCAGTTCTCGGACCTAATTAACGACTTCATATCAGTGGATGGCAGTGGAACGGCCATGTCTGCCGGAGGAAGCCTCTATGCTCACCAGCTTGTCACTTCACACAGCTCGGAGAGTCCAAACACTGCCGGCGGGGGTCCCCAAGAGAGGCACGAGGATGCCAGGGGGTCTGGCTACAACCCATCAGAGCTCTGCCTTCAGCCATGCTGCAGCCCCCAGTCTCTGAGCGGGGGTGCTGGTGCAGCGGGGAACACTGGAGAGGCGGCGTCGCTGTCCTACATGAATGTAGCCGACGTGGTCTCTGCTGCCGCTGCGCACGGCGCGCTGGGCATGCTCCAGGCCACTGGGCGGCTCTTCATGGTCACTGACTACTCTCCTGAGTGGTCCTATCCTGAGGTGAGTGAGTTATGTTTGATTTGATGGAACCCGAGTCTTACGATCAGCATTGGTTCTTAAAGATGTGTTTTGTGCTTGGGCTAATCTGTAATTTGGATGTGCAATACAGTATTGCAGGGTGTATCCCAGCTCTCGCTCAAAGACGGCTGGGATAGGCTCTAGCACGCCTGTGACCCTCGTGAGGAGAAGCGCTTCAGATAATGGATGGAAGCATAGTGCTGTCTACTCCTCTAATGTTCAGCAGAATAATACACAATTCAGTATGGGAGAACTGATCAACGTGGCATTATATTTCCTGTCCACAAGAGAGCAGTAAAGGCGAATACAAAATTTTCCCAACACTATTTTACTGAAGATGCCATTTTTGCTTCTGTGCTCTTGGTGGCAGCATACAATAGCGAGGCAGGCTCAACTCTTAGGAATTTTATTTTATTATATATTTATAATATTTGGGCCGAATTTGCAAAATACTGACCAGTGTAAAGACTTCAATCAAGCGCTCTATGCAATACAAAGTACTCTTCATCCAAAATGACACAAAATGATTTTGTGGCAGCAGTTTGTATTAGTGTACAAATGCATCGCATCATATTGATATCTTATTCTGCTCAATGAGAGCGACAAATACAGTAATGCTAAACACATCCAAAAATATTGCTATTCTGTTCTAGCACAAATAACAGACTTTGCATATAACCATAATACTGTAAATAACATGTATTTCACTGAGTTTTGATATTTTTTTTTTTTAAGACAGCAATAGTCACATTAAGATGCAGAATCTCTTGTGCAAGGGTGTTCTTTCTGGTCAAGACGGCAGCACAATAGTTCCACATACAGTGAAATCCACATGAAGGACCAACAATGCAACAATTACAGTATACAAATTGCATCAATGTCTCATGAGCACCATCAGTGTTTGGTAAGAACAACAAAATAATTTAGTCCCCAATTACGCCTTATTTGTGGTTTTAAATCTCTCCATACTTGGCACATAATCTGGTTTAAATTCACACAAGGACAAGGGTGCAGATGTTTGAAGTGCTCTTTGAGCCAAGTCTGATGTATTCATGTACTTTCCGTCCATGAGATTGGAGATTGGTCCTGCTGGTGACTTTAGGACTCAAGAGGGAACAAGAGGCAAGTTAGACTGAATGCCTTCTGACACCAGTATCCGAAATTATGATTTTGCAGACAAAGCCAGCCAAGGCTTCCATATAAACTGCAGCAACGAGTATGAAAGCCTGAATCAGCTGCAACTCATAATGCTTTATGTTACACTGAATCCAGTATTTTCCGACAGGAAAGATTTGCATGCATTTACAGTATGCCATGTCACTGCAGCCCACTATCCAAAGAAAAGTTACCTTAATACATAGAGACGATGATGAGGATTTTTTCTTGAATGACAAAACAGTTCCTCTCTGACTGTACCAGAACTAATGGTTTACCTTTGCCAAGGTCGAGTTTTGCATTTAGGCCTACCTAGAGTACAACCAAAGCAATCAGGTAGTTGTTGTCTTTCTGAACTCCACGTGCATGTGTTTTGAAGGGCGGTGTGAAAGTGCTAATCACGGGCTCCTGGCAAGAAGCTGCCTCAAACTACAGCTGCTTGTTTGACCAGATTTCAGTTCCAGCCTCTCTCATCCAGCCGGGAGTGCTGCGTTGCTATTGCCCAGGTGAGATATGCATGCTGCTTTTTTTTCCAAAAAGCTGCATTTGCTGAAGTTGATTTGCACACGACATCCTAAACATGTGCTCTCGGTCATCAGCTCATGACACAGGTCTGGTGACGCTCCAGGTGGCCGTTAGCAATCAGATCATCTCCAACTCTGTGGTTTTTGAGTACAAGGCCCGTGCGCTTCCCTCGCTGCCCTCTGCTCAGCACGACTGGCTCTCACTGGATGGTAAGTCTCGCTCAGACTCCGAACCACTTTTTCACCTTTCCTCTGTCACGTTGCGAGGTGGTGGTGGACCCCAAAAAGCAGGCAGGAGGGAGGAGCAGGGTGTACTTGAAGAATTGTATTAAAACATAGAGAAAACTAAATCCAAAACAAACAAAGTAGCAAACAAAAATCACAACTGAAGCTAGAACAGAACTGTGACCAAAACATGACCGAAACAAACCTGACAGCAGCAGACAAACGGCAACAAACAAACATGACAGTAGCAAAGAGCAACAATGACCCGACAATGAGTGGTCGGGCTGGGAGTCCTTTTAAAGCACTAATTACCTAATGACCAACAGGTGTGCAGCTGCAGGCGAAGCCCTACAGTGCCACCTGTTGGTCCCAAACCGAATCATGACATCCTCAAACTTCCTCTGAACATTTCTCACATGAACTTTGTCAAAATTTTGCGTGCTGCTGCATCAGATTCCTTCTTCCTTCAGACACTTATAATGATAGACCTTAAATTACAGCAGTGCCAATTGCAGCATGTCTACACTCTCCTCGCCAGTGTCTGCCTCCCAACATGGTGGTATATTTCATCTGACGAATACCGATTTGAATGTGCACTTGCCCTTGTGTGTGCTGCATATTTCAACGAAATTAACGGTGACCATCATGGGCGGGACATCTTGTTTGGACAGAATGCAGGCTTTCAAGATGATGAACCTTTGAAGAAGCATTTAAGACAAAATTCCAGTTTTGCTCACTTTTGCAGTAAAAAGGCAATGTTGAAAAATGCCTGCATGGGACTCATAATGAGGACTTGTATCACTCAAACACTGCAAGACATGCGGTCTATTCCCCAGGATATAGTGAGCCTGGTTCTTTGTGGATGTGGATCTGTGCATGTAAAAGCGCCAGTGCATCGGCAGGATAAAGTGGGACGAGGTGAAGCACGAGCTCCCACGACAGCTGCATTGCGGACGGTCCTGGAGGGAGCGGGAGGGAGATGAAGCGGCGCATTTCCCCGCCATTCATACACGGATGCCTCAGCATGACTGGCTCATTCACGGAAGCAGCTGAGGAGGAGCTGATTGACTCTAGGAAAAAGCAGCCCGCCCTTTTACCTCGCTGAGTTTAACTCCTTGCTTGCTACCGGCAGCCATCTGCTGCTCGCTCTTGATTTTCTGCCAAGAGAAGGAGCTATTTAGCTTTGGCTGTAGTGAAGACTCCACTGTACACATAAGAGACACCGACATAATTGAAGCTGCAGTATGTCAACAATCCAAAGATGGCTCTATTTACATCTTGTGGTTACTGACAGTGGTGCTCAGTTTGTGATTGGAATACCTCGTGTATACAAAAATGAACACACTGTTAATTGATACTTCTCTGACAATGTTAATTAGAATTAGAAAATGTTAAATAGAATTTGTTCAATAGAATTTGGGATGTGGCTATTTTCATGGATTGGGCCAATGAAGTGGCCAGTCTATAAATGAATATTTCACTTGGACACCAGAACAGAAACACATTTTGTGGATGAGTCTAGACATCAAGTAATTCAATAGCAACGGGATGTATTACGAGCCAGCTCTCCCTTTGGATTTTTGCAAGCTACCTAAGCAGCATCAGGACAACTGTCCGTGGACAGACTCTGCCCCAGCATCCCCAACACACACACACACACACACACACACACACACACACACACACACACACACACACCAGACTCCGAGTGTCTCTGATAACTTTGTTCGCAAGTAGGGCAGACTGTGTCACTGCTGCATGTCAGCGTCAACCGCACAGCCATCAGGCTGCGCTTCCAATGCGGTGTGACAGAATGCATGGACTTGAAGTCAAAGTGCAGCCACCTGATTCCGAAAGGCCGCCGACGCAGTTCTTTGCATTTAGTCCGCAGAGCGATTTGCATGCAGCTTGGCCAAGGAGGACGACTTGGTGTTGTGATCATGCTTGTGGCACTGCTGCCTGCCTGCCTGCCTTGATTTGTCATAATGCAGAGTGGGGGAAGGGGCGCTTCTTCTTTTTTTTTCCTTCTGCTGCAGCATTGCAGGTAGAGAGCCATTGGCAGGACACAGCCACAATTCTCCAATAAGATCCCGCGCTTCCAACCTTATAGACCACGGTCCAGGGTGTGTGGTGCGTGTGCGTGTGGCTCATTCAGCTGCAGCCGGACTACATCCTCGTGCAAGCGGCGTGCAGACTGTTGCGAGCAGCACACACTCATTCAGCGCAAGTGCTGGGGGTGGGCGTGTTTGGTTGACTATTGCAAAGATGCGCTTGACCGAGGCGGCGCCGTCCAGCGTACGCACAACAAACCTGTTTGAATGTTACGCCGATGCAAGCCGGTGCTGTAAAAGAAGAGGTGAGCTGGGGCTGGAGGAGCAGTGGCATCTGTTTACCGGCAGCACGTGTGCACTAGTGTGCGCGTGTGAGGTGGAAGAAGTGGAGAAGAGAAGGGAGAGGAGGAGGGGGGCTTTTAGAGCAAGAGGAGTCGCTCTCCGCGCCGCTCTCTCCTTGTTCCATTGTTTGACTCGTGGAGTAGGATGACACTCGGTCCACAAAACATGGACGCGGATGTGCTTTTGCCTTTCTTTGTCTGAGGGGCTGGGACGGACATTTCTTTTTTCAGCTTTGCGCGTGTGTGTGTGTGTGTGTGTGTGTGTGTGTGTGTGTGTGTGTGTGTGTGTGTGTGTGTGTCTGTGTGTGTGTGTGTGGGACGCAGTCATGGAACGACTAGCGTGGGTCAGGATACCGGTGGCCAACACCTGAGCCTCCTAAACAAACAAAAGAGGCTTTTTCACCCAGCGTTTGGGATGGACTCTATCCGATGGAAAATAAGATAGAAGGTTAGAACTTCAGGCTACATTGTTGTGTTTTTCAGGCTTGTTGTCCATTGTGCGTACGTGTGTGTGTGTGTGTGTGTGTGTGTGTGTGTGTGTGTGAGAGAGAGAGAGAGAGAGCGTGAGCGGGTCAGAGGAAGTTGAAGTTGCATGCTTCAGTTGACGCTGTAACTGGGCTGAGGTGGAGTTTGAATCAAATGTCCACCTCTGGCTGTGGTCGAAAAGACCCGACTCACTCCGACTGCATGAAATCCAGCAGGCATTGTTATCTTACGAAACCCCCAGGATAATGTATGCATCTCATTGTGACAGCCTTATTCATTAATTAAATAGTGCTGTGATTCACCTATTTTACATGAAAAAAAAATCTCACAGAACACTGCCAAACAAAAATGTCACAAAAAGTAGCATGATCTGCTTTCTGTTTACTGAATCAGTGTCTGCCCATTTAATTAAACACAAAACCTGGTGGGTGAATGGCACTAGGCGGATACACAGATTTGATGTGCCTTGTGCTGTCAAGTGGATGAACTTTTAATTGTTCTTCCTCTCACTTTATGTCACTGACGACAGTAGATGAACAGAGATACATAATTTGGAGAAAATAAATCCATTTCGGACAAATTAAGTGAAAGTAGGTAACACCTGATGATCTCACTGTGGCTGAGAGTCAGCCTCCATCCCTTTTCAACTTGTACTCACACCGGAGTTGTCCGAAAACAAGCTCATCACAGGGCTGCCGTAGTGTGTCACTCTTGTTGGAAGCTCGTGGCTACTACAGCACACAAGTACAACGCATACTTGACATGAACACTTTGCCAGGATAGAAAAACTTGCATTGGAATCAACCAAATTCTTATTTATCTATCTATCTATCTATCTATCTATCTATCTATCTATCTATCTATCTCTTTCTGTCTGTCTGTCATTTCATCAGCTACAAGGTTTGCTGAACAACTTCCAACATAACTTTTTGCCCTCGCTTTGCCTCCTTTCTAAACCACAAGCATTTAAAGGCCAATTATTTACTGAATGAACTATGAAGTGAAACTATCAAACAACGATGTGTGACTACGACCACCTTTTGTGTGGATGGCAACACGCAAACAATGCTGCTGAGCAGGGCTCCCAATACAGTTAAGCATTTACAGTCTTCAGTCAGACGCAGCAAAACCCAAATGTTTTTTCATGAGTCCATGTGGGTCTATATGTGACTGTGTTACATTATAATCACTTCCTTTTCAAGTGGGACATACAGACACCAGTGCCAAACCAAATTTCAAAGTTCACAACGAGCTGGTGATCTAGTGCGGGCCCTGTGTTTGGACTCATGTTGAAATTGTTGTTGTTGTTTCAACTCTTCTTCTTCACAGTGGTGGCCCCTCGTTATTTATTCATCCCTTGTGGCAGGAATGTCTGAGAGGTTCCGATAAAAGCTTTGTCACTTGTGGACAATTGTATGTTGATAAGGTGCTCTGAGCTAGTTCCAAATGGAATATATTCAAGATCACACATTATTGGTGGCCAGACGAGTTCACGTTGTCTTGTTCAGAGTACGAATTTACACTTCATGTTCCAAAATGGTGTTGGTTCAAGGCTTCGTGTTTGTTTATTGTAGATTTGAATTTGATTCCTGCTTTGCATCCTGTGTTTGCACCCTTTCTTGATGCCCACTGAATTATAAAGTAACGCGAAACTCAAACGGGCCTTCTGCCCAAGACACCTGGTCGAGTCTGCAGCAGTGTATGAGTGCAATGCTAGGTGACAGTAAGTCCCCGTGGCACTGACTCTTGGTGCTTGACCTTTGTTGTGACCGAATCTCTTGACTTTTTAGATTCGACTTGTGTTGACCTATTTAGCTGGACAAACGCCAGGAGGTTCAGAGCCACTCTCTCTCTCTGGCACGACAAGCAATGTAATCACACATTGTGGAAACTGTTGATTCAACAAAGATACCAAAAAGCTAGACAGCGCATTGCTGGCGTCAGGCTCAAAGCTCCTATGTCACAATTTTGATTTTTTTTTTCCAAATTGTGATTCTGTCGGTCAGTTGACACGCGTGGGCGTTAGTTTGACAAACTCTCAACCAATGTAAAGTTTTGAAAATGCTTTACTCTCTTAGGCGATGCAATGTTCATGTTTGAACCAAACATGCTGTTTTGGGGGACTCCTGAAAAATGATCATTTTCAAGGTATGACAATTCCGCTCGACGTCAGCTGTATGAAAAAATCAACAGAACAGGCCAAGCATTGCTTAGTTTTGCAAGTGCACACCTGTTTGAAGTTGAGATTAGGCTTTAAAACGTCGGAAGCTGGCGGCAGGGAAATTAAAAAGAAAAAAAAATGCATCTTCATAATTTGAGGATAAAGTCAGCCTCAGTCAATCTTGTGAATCTTGCAGCTTTATGAAGACCTTCCGCCTCTTTGATTGCCTCTCGTGTTGCTTGAAGGATGTCGAAGATTTTCACCACCTTCTGCCGCCTGTCTTATATTGCATTACTAAACACACACACACACACACACACACACGCACACGCACACACACACGCTGCATATCGTTGTTCATTTTGGGAGTCTCTTGAAGAGTTTCTGCCATGTCAAGAGGCTGGCTCCATCATTTTATTCCAACTCCTCTGCATAGAAAGAGCTTGAGTGACCATTGCAGTAGAAAGACAAGGCCAATTCATTTGATCAGGCACAAAGTCATGCATATTGCTAAAGTGGCTGTCCACATGGAGGCCGTCCTGGCCGGCTCTCAGGTCCACAGGGGCAGCGCGAGCGATTTCTCGGCACGCAATAAAATGACTCATTTGTGGCCGTGCTCATAAATGTTCAAGCCCTTTTGTCGGACACTATTAAGTTGTGGATTTTTGTTCATGTCCGCGTTGATAATGGCCACTACAATAAAAGACGAAATCACTGGCATTTTTCAGCCTCTTCAGGCATTGATCTCTTGGATGGGAGCTGTTTTGGAGGACAGGGCAGGTATATTGTAGTTTGGCAGTGCTGTAAGAGTACAATTGATGCAGTGGGCTGGTTGCATCTGTTCTTTACTTCATTGGGAAAAGTTAGAAAGGGCGGCGAACAAGCAGATGTGAAGAAGTTAGTCTCCTAATCACCATTGTTTTTTGCTGCATGTAAACAAAAGCACACATTTGCCGAATGAATATGCCACTTGCTTTTCGATTGCCCTGAAGACATGAGAGTGACCGTACCGCTCTCCTCAAAGCCGAGCGTGGGAAGGCACCAACGGTGTCGGCGTGTTGATGCCCTCGTCTTTGGCTGCTCACCTTTCCCGTCTCCTCCCACTCGTCTCTTCCCCCATCCTCCCTCCGCAGTGGACGTGCGTGGCATTCAGAGTAGCAGGCAGCAGGTGGGAATGACATCATCCGCGCTGCAGCGCACTGCAGCATTAGGCCTGCCTGAACAAAGGCATGTGGGCATGCTGCTCACTATCCTCTCTGCTGCTCCGTGCTTGCGTGTTGGCCTTGACCTTTGTCAAGCGCGTGGCCTCGTACCATGTTGGGTTGCAGAGTGCACTGACCTATCCCAAACTCAGCACTCCAGACACAGCCCCTCCGCCTTAGCAGCGAATGCTAAATTGGTACTAATTCACCAGTCGATTGTTGAAGATGCTGCGAACGCAGGCGTCTTTTGCAGCTCTGTTGATTGGACACAAAGCGGCATGAAGGGAAGCGGCATGCTGAAGCATACGGTCAGAGAGCGGAGCAATTTAGCACCCTGTAACATGATGTTTCCTTGCCTGACCTCTTTTACGCTGGGCTGACATTAAACATCCGTGCTGTGTTGTGAAGGCTGGACGCTTCAAGCGATCAGGTCCCGTCTGATGACGTCCACACAGAGACATGTGGGCCAAGTACCAGACACGTAAAGCGCAGTCAGGAAGATTAATGGATTTTGTTCTGTGCTTTCCCTGTCTCCCTGTATTTTATTTTTCTGTGTACAGTCCTTCTCCTCCCCTTCATCAATAAGCCAATAGAAGACAGACCATACACACACAGTCGTGTTCCCGTCGCCTAGTTACCGCGCAGCAGCAGGTTTCCACAGAAACGGCCCCACGGTGGCTAAATGGGGAATGCTAATGCGGTCTACTCTACTCTCTACTGCACTGGTCTCTGTGTACTCATCCCATTATACTGAATGGACACAACAATCTTGGTATATGTGTGTGAGTCGTACGTCGATGTACCTGTGAGTGGTGTGAGTGTGAGTGTTGTTGCTTAAAGGGGAAGGTTAGTTTTCAAACTGCTGGCAAGATGTGATCTAATTCCTTCCTTGTATTAATGTTGCTAACAGGAGGGGGATTTTCTTTCAAAGTTTCAGCAAAGCTTCTGAAGCCCAAGGAAAGACTGCAGCTGGGTGCCACGAGTGCACAGCAAATGATCGACATCTTGTCAGTCAGACCTTTTGTCTCTGAGTGATTGTTTTTCTTCGGACGGTTGGTTTCGTTAAATTCAAATTAGAGGTGCAAGATGGGGCCAGAGAGGCAAGACTTTAATGTTATTATTTTTTACTCTCAGGTCAGACTGCCAGTTTTAAGAAAAAGCGCAAACCTCATAATGCCGTGTCAATGTTGCCAGCACATGTATGGGCAGTTGCAATCCTTATAGAATTAATTTGACAGAGAATAACTTTACAATTTCCCACAAGGGCCTGAGCTTTTTCTGTTGCCAAAGACCAACCTCTTGACATGTAGTAGAGTGCCACTATGTAAGCACTCTCAAGGCTAATGCACTTCCATCCTGGTGTAGGGGACGGCTTTTTCTTCAAGGACCCGGGAGATGGTTGTGATTGATTGGTAATGTCCCCGCTTATCCCTGCTATAGCATCTGGGACTCTTGTGCTCTCACTGGTTGCATTGATTCGGCTGGAGAGGCCTTGAGTCCTGCTTGCCCTGTGTGACACCTGTTCATCTTCTTGGGCTGCCTTGCACGAGAGCTGGAGAAAGCCTGTAACTGGTGATTGATGGACATTGGGGGTGCATTTTGGCAAAGCGTCTTATTAGGATGAGGTTCTGATTGATGCTATTGTTTTCACTCACTTGTCAGTCTGATTAATGATGATTAGACAGGGGTTGTAATAGTGAGAAGAGGGACCTTGTCATTTACTGCTTATGTCACAAATGGTTGATGATTCTGGTTCAAGGAGCTTTCTGCAGCTCCGCTGCTTGCTGGAAGCAACACATTTGGTGCCTACAGCGAGATCATTCGTCTTGTCGGGATACAAGGTTGTGTGCGTGGATACGACAGCAAACACACGCATTTCTTGTCACGCAGCATCTCTGCCGCGGGCTGAATTGTGTTCCTCCTCTGTGTCCCGCCACCTGGCCAGATAACCAGTTCCGAATGTCTATCCTGGAGCGCTTGGAGCAGATGGAGAGGAGGATGGCGGAGATGGCCAGCCACCAGCAGCCGACCACCGTAGCGAGTGGTGGGGCTGCAGGAGGAGGAGGAGGAGGAGGAAGTGGCGGAGGAGCGGGGGCAGGTGGAGGTGCAGGAGGTGGAGACAGCAACAGCCAGACACAGGTAAACGCCTGAGGTAACTTGCAGAGCACAAGTAGCAGACAGAAGATCACGTGGCCACGTTATAAACATCTTATTGGCTTATGTTTTCAGGGACAAAATGCAGCCCGTATCCACCTGGGGGGACGAACGTTTGTGAGTGTTGGCAAATGCTTTTTTTGTCGCCAGCATGTTCAAAATTTCCTTACGACAACAAAAACAATTAGAGCTGTTGGCGAGCATCTACAGAATGTTTGTGACCTTGAACGAACGCTAACAAGTACTCACCATATGCTGCTGATGCCAACACTTGCAATCGTTCGCCCCTCGGTGGGATATGGCCTTAAACACATTGCGGAGTCGCTCCCAAGTCAGTAATCATCACCTCCGTGATGGCGAATAAGCTACACTTCTGGCATGGAGGGTTTTCACGAAGGGATGATCAGGAAAGCTAGGGAAGCCGTGCGAAAGTAAGAGTGACACAGCTAGCGTGTTTAACACCAGAATGAAGTGCTTGACGACATCCAAATTTGAACAGCCACATTAATACGTGTCTGGACCCTGGAGAGAAAATCTAATGGTGAAACAGAAGCAGAAACTAGAAATAAATTTAGTTCCAGTACAGTGTCCATCATTCAGGAGGAATGGCTAAGATTAAAAGTATGCATATAATTATGATGTATGGAATGTGAATATTAGTAAAGTAAGTAATGTTACTTGCCCGTTTGTACAAGTATTTTGGATTTTTAAAGTCTGCGCAACAAAAAAGCATAACAATAGTTATTTTTGTCATCACTTGAGCTTTGCTGAATGGAATCCATTCAGTCAACTAAACATAAACTGAAATTCAGCCGTCCATCCATTTTCCGATCCGCTTATCCTCACAAGGATCGCAGTGGGGCTGGAGCCCATCCCAGCTGTCTTCGGGCAGTAGGCGAGAGACACCCTGAACTGGTTTCCAGCCAATCGCAGGGCACACCGAGACGAACAACCATCCACACTCACACCTAGGGACAATTGAGAGTGTTCAATCAGCCTGCCATGCATGTTTTTGAAATGTGGGAGGAAACTGGAGTCTCAGAGAAAACCCACGCAGGCCCGGGGAGAACATGCAAACTCCACACAGGGAGGCCGGAGCTCGAATTGAACCCGGTACCGCTGCACTGTGAGGTCTACGCGCTAACCACTGCACCACCGGGCCACCCGCAAGTAATCATGTGATAGCAAAAAATCAGCTAATTGGTGAATGCCAAACCGCAAATAGGTGGGTGTCCACTGTAATTGGCAGGTTCTAAAGATTTCATTTGGAAACTTCAATGCTGTATCTGCAAAATGTTCACATTTACAATATTCCTCTTCTTCATAGTTCACATTTTCTAGAAACAATAATCGTAACTGCTCATGGTCACCATTTAGAACCAATATGAATGACAAACAGAAGTTGGTTTGAAGTACAACTGTAACGCAGTGGAACGTCAAATCAGCACTTGTGTCCCTTGAGTAAGTTGACATCCTACAAGGTGATCTTTGAATTGAAATCACGCTCTTGCATCATCTTTTAGGCTCAGTAGCTCCACAGAACACAGCACCTCCTCACAGCTGATGCGCAGGCACAAGCTCCGCCGACGGAGATACAAAGTGTCCACACAGAGAGGCCCGAGCTGGAATTGAACCCGGTACCTCTGCACTGTGAGGTCAATGCGCTAACTACTGGACTACCGGGCCGCCCACTGAAATTCATATTTGTTTGAAATTGACCGACTGAAAATGTTTCTAGACCATTCAGTTTGTTGCTACACACAATGTGAATTTAAGGGGGAAAAAAATATAACAGTTGATTGTATAAAAAAGAAAAATAATTGTTCATTGTTTGAACACAAGTTGTCATAGTTTGATTGTTTGATAATAATTTACCTGCAAAATGACAAATTTGCTTCTCATGTGAAGTCACGGCTGTACAAAACAAAACATTACAAAATTCGAGCCTTGGTGTATACCGGTATTCGCTTTTATTCTGCTCGGTCTTCACTCCGCAGTCTGCTGCCACATCGGCATTGCAAATGAAAATCTGTTCTCAATTGTCTTACATGGATAAATGAAGGGAATAAATAAATGTCAAATATAACAGCAATCACCGGAAGAACAGCATGCCCACACAGAAGCATGGCACTGTCAGCCTTGTGATTTGCTGATGCTCCTCTTCAGCAGGACATTGAGTTTCAGTCAAACTGTTCTAAATGCCCATCAAAAGTGGCCCAAAACTGTCAGATGCACGAGCAGTATCACCATGTATCAGCATGGCAATGATCTCAAGCGCGCATCCCAAGTCCAAACTTGCGCCAATGTCAGGTGAAATGAAGAGGGCTGTGCACAGATGCCCTTGCAGTCTGACACATTTGGGTCGGGACACTTAGACGAGTCAAGAGGTGCTACGCTGTCTTTCCGACTAATCCCACTATGGACAGGTTTGGGTTTCCCTGACAGATTTGTTTCTTTTTAATGGATTTATACAGATGAAAAAGTCAATGAAAGGATTAGCCATATGCACCTTTTGTATCGAAAAACATTTTATCATGGCGGTGTTTATTGTGGACATCCATTGTTCATCGTCCTCTTCTGTGGAGATAGCATGCTAAAATGTAACTTACGTGTCGTGTTTGTGCTCCATTCCATTCATGATACTCTGGTTCGTACCTCGAGCTGTCATGGTCCTTCGTGGCAAACACAAAGAATAATGCGCAGGACAGAACCGAATGGCGTGATTGCTGTGTTGTCCGAAAGGAATGCTCTTCAAATCCAGTAATAAAGATTGCACCCTGTTTGTTTGGCAGTGTGCGACAGGCCCAGCGCAGGCCAGTAGCTCCTTTGAGAGCCGTGTGGTTGTGGTTTGCGAGAAGATGATGAGCAGAGCTTGTTGGGCCAAGTCCAAACATTTAATCCACTCCAAGACTTTCCGAGGCATGACGCTCCTTCACCTGGCTGCTGGCCAGGGCTACGCCACCCTCATCCGGACGCTCATCAAGTGGCGGTGAGAACAGCATCCTGACAATGCACTGCTCCTATGTTTGCATGTCATTTGATTTTGGGTTGTCTTCCACCCAGCGCCAAACATGCTGATAGCATTGATCTGGAGTTAGAAGTGGACCCTCTCAATGTGGATCACTTCTCCTGCACACCTCTGGTAAGAGAGCTGTGCATTTTTAGACATGTATGAATCATGTTTTTAGCATTCCCCTGCATCTGTGTTTCTTTTCTGCAACTGTGCCAGATGTGGGCGTGTGCACTGGGTCACCTGGAGGCAGCCGCGGTCCTGTACAAGTGGGATCGACGGGCCCTTGCAATTCCAGATTCTTTGGGCCGTCTACCTCTTTCCATCGCCCGCTCTCGGGGCCATACCAAATTGGCGGAATGTCTGGAGCAGCTGCAGCGGGAGGAGCGTCAGCCACCAGCGCCGCTACCCCCCACAACTCGCACGTCTTTCTCCCCAACGCTCGACACTCCCGCTGCAGACAGCTGGATGCTCAGCTGGGCGAATGAGAACGCAGTAACTCCCGGCGGTGGCAAGAGAGGAGGTCCTGCTACGACGACAACTACGTCCACCGACACCAGCCACAATCCAGGCTCGTAGCTTTGTTTCGACTTGGCTTCACATCAAATAGTGGCTGGGACTCATTTCTTTATAGTCGTTTTCTCTGCATTGCTAACCTTTGCATGTTCTGTGTTTTGCAGACTTGAGAAGGCCCAGGTCAGAACCTTCAAGTTACTACAGCAGCGAGGGCCAAAGAGACCTACCGCTAGCTAAAAAGCATAAACCCAACCCACAGCAATTTCAGACGCGGCCCGACAAGGCCGCGTCTGTTCCTCTTAGCCTGCAGCAGCAGCAGCAGCTGCTCCACAAGCTTTCCTCTAGCCCCAAGAGCCAGTCCTCGGAGAGCCTGGACACGAGTCTGTCGACAGGGGGCAGCACGGGGACAGCCAGGTGGACCTCCAGGGAGGAGACTTTTTCTGGTAGCAACATGGGGAGGAAGGGTCTGGGGGTCGACGAGAGTGGCATTTTGGGGAAGGAGAAGCCCGTCAGCCGCTTACGCCAGCGGGAACAACTCAGCATGCTGGTCATGGCGGAGAGAAGCGTGGCTGACGCAGAAATGTTATCCTATCAGGATGATCTGGAGAATCAAGACTGTCTCACACAGATGGATAACCTACAGGTGAGAGTGACTGGTTTACCATTTTAGGTGCTTGGCACCCACTTTTCACCGGCATAGTCTCTAAAGTTGACTCTTACATAGGATGCATGCTGTCGCACGCAACATATCTTTGCAATCGCTGGTTGCCAACAGTAGACTTGATTGCTCTTTTAGAAAGGCAACATTCAACAATGTCACGGTTCTCATCTTTGCAATGTCCACTTAGCATTAGAGTCATCGCAAAGCCAAACAGTCAACCTCAAATCATAGATGTTCTTTCAGCATCAGTCAACAGTCGTTCACGTTTGTCTCAACAAAACAGGCAAATATGATGACTCTGGCCGAGCAGATCATCGAGGCAACACCGGAGAGGATCAAGAGGGAGCATTTTTCTTCTGCTGACTCTTTGCCGGGAGACACATCAGGGGTCAACAGCACCATGAACTGGCTAGCCAACTACCTGGGAGATGTAGAGCAGCTGCCCAGCATCTTACACCTACGGTAGGGCGAGACCTCGAATACAGGGTAGCATTTGTTGTAAAATACCCCCCTCGTATGCGCTCCTGTTCCAAAAAGTTGCTTGGCAGTCATACGCTGAGTGAAACGAGGTTGCAGCAACACCTAGGCTCACCAACATAGTAGCAGGTGGCCCTGTTCGAAAAAGAGCTCAGATCGTGTTCGTGGCTCGTGAAAATGGAACATGGGGATAGTTGTGGAAGTCAGCATTCGAAAATGTACTTGCTGAGATTTATAGAAATGAAGTGTGTCCGTATTGATCATTCGCGGTTTCCTACCTTGTTAATTGAAAGTTGAGATTTGCGAAATCACGACTGTGATCAGTGTCTTGAAGCTCGAGCCAGTGTACCGAGGAAGTGTACTCGGCCCGTGCACTTAGTGGCCAGTGACTGCACTTTGCCAAGGAGCATGCAGAAAGCAGATCTGAAGGCCCCGGTCCTGTTCCTTCCTCAGATCCCTGCACAACGATCCTGTGACCTCCTCGTCCAACCCCAGCCTAAGTCCTGGGCTTACCCCGCTGGGAGAGGGGCCCTTGGAGAGGCCCGCACTTCCATCCCCGGCAGACTGGAGCGACTTCATCAATGCCTCCAACAGCAAAGTGGAGAGAGACCTGGCCCAGCTTACTCTGTCCGATCCAGAGCAAAGAGAGCTATACGAAGCTGCCCGTCTCGTTCAGACTGCCTTCCGCAAGTACAAGGTACAGGCCTTCCCCTCGGGTACCGAATCATGTGCGTGCTGCAGTGTGCCGTGGAAAGCGTGCCCTTGCAGTGCTCGTGCAGTTTTGCAGAGACTTTGATGGGTTTGCTTTAACATGCTCCCAAACTAGTGGGCAAGGTAATGGTCTTTTTGTTTTTGTGGTGGGGGAATGCACTGTTTCTTCTGAAACTGCACACTTTCCTGTCTGTCGGTCTGTCTGTCTGTCTCTCGTGTGTCGTGTTCTTCTTTCCTTTGCTAACGTACAAATGTCAACGTCAACAAAAATGTCACTGGGATGTCAGCATGGGAAAATGGCTTGAACAGAGCATGTTGCTTCCTCTGCTGCTCGGTGAATGGAGCCCGCTGCCGCTTGTTGTCAACTCGTTCTCTGAACAACTTTCCTACTGTTGTGTTCCTCCCTGCTTTTACTTTCTTTCATATGACCTACTGTTTGCTGTCCTTTGTCTTGACGGCGCCAATCTTATCTGCAAGCTAATGCCGAGGGGGACGTTTTGCAAGTCAAGAGTTGGGCTTCCACTCCGACTCGCAGCTTCCTACCGAGGCTGGACACAGGCTAGGGTGCCGTTCACGTGAAGACACCAAGAGACTGATATCGAAGGTGGCAAATAGTAGGTTGTGATTCAGCCTCTGACCCATCCCGCTCTACTTCTCCAACAGGGGCGGCCGCTTCGAGAACAACAGCAAGTAGCCACTGCTGTTATTCAGCGTTGTTACAAGAAATACAAACAGGTTGGAACATTTGTGTAAAAATTGGATTGACTCTACAGTGGAACCTCGGCTTTCTTGAAGTACAGAAGCGAAAGCGAATATCTCCCATCGCAAATAATGTACATCCAATAAATCCCTCCATTCCAGACAAAATATGTTTTGTAGGAAAGAGCTGTTTGTTTAACATACAGAAAACGAATGAAAGGGATACCTCAACATTTAAGTATCTCTCTTACTTTTAGTAATGGCATACGCATGACAGTGAGGAGCGGAGCAAGTGGACGAGAGGTTGTTCTTTGGAACAGAATCCACCATGTTCATACTTTTTTTAATCCATTCCGATGGTGACACTTATTTTTTCTAGCAAAGATCGTGGAACTTTTTTTTTAGCTGCGTCATGGCTTATTTGAACAGTCACACTCAAAAGATGAGCTCAAAAACGATGGAAATGTTTCGGATGAATGCGCACTTTCACGCTCACTGAATAAAGTTGCGTGTGCCAGTCCAGGACATGAGCGGCCGAGTCATGCGGTTGGTACAGACTATTTCTAGCTGTATGAAAGCCAAGCCAATGTACCCGAACAAGGTGAAAATTTGGACCCAAAAAGTGTCATTATCCCCATCATGCGAAAACCGGGGTTCCACGGTACTTGTTTCCCTCATGCAGTCACTAACACAAAGACCGATACAAGTATCCTTTCCCAAACGATTTGCTACATCGCCACTGTGCTTGCTTAACAGTACATATTTTTTCCCTCATGCAAGCTTACATGGATAGCCTTGAAGGTAAACTTCTTCACAACCAGCACCTTAAGCGTGTCCAAAAACCGGACCGGTGTTGACACAGCACGATGTTTTCGTTTGCAGTATGCACTTTATAAGAAGATGACGCAGGCCGCCATCCTTATCCAGAGTAAATTCCGCAGCTACTACGAGCAGAAGAAGTTCCAGCAGAGCAGAAGGGCCGCCGTGCTCATTCAGCAATACTACCGCAGCTACAAGGAGTTTGGCAGGCTCAAGCCCCGGCACCGCGAAGCGGCTGCTGCCCTGATGCAGCACAAAATGAGGTAGAAATGTCATGAAGGCGCCACAGTCAAATCAGGCTCCACAAAATTTGGCCCTTCATGCAGTTCACGAAAGGCTCCAAGAGTTTCTTCATCCAGTCAATTTAGATGAAGTGGCTCTTGTCAAAATGTCAGTGGAAATTCATTTCATTCTCCACGGTATGATATCCACAAGCTAGCCAGCTTGTGGATCTTTCAAATCAGTGCATTTGTCTTAATCCTTGGCCACAAGTCTGTCTGTTTAAAAAGTCGGAGTCAAAGTCAGACTTTTTTTTTAATTGCGTTTTCAATGTAATGCATTAGTGCCATCAGTGTTGCAACATATCTGTGCAGTACTGAACCAGCTGTAGTTGCTCCCCAACAACAACAGAAAAATGGCCAAAAAGTTATAGCACAGATCATCGTTGAAAATATGATCCGATTAAAGTGACCTGAAATTGATACTGACGTGGACTGAAATCTGATCAAAGATGGCTGCTGAAGCTATTCTTTGTGGGTTAAATATCATGTTTTTGTTTGTTTTTTTGCCAGTGTTTTATTTGTTGGTAAGCTCCATAACCTCCCTGCTAATTAGCAATCACATAGTAGTGCCACCTTTGTGTGCACATGTGGTTCACAAACTGGGGTCCGCCCGTCCATCGTAATCTGGTGTATGGTTGCCAAAATCTTTTCCATAAATTCATTTGTGTCGTTTTGAAAAACCTACTTATGGAGACCATGCAGTGCGTCAATAAAACAAAGATACTAAACTAGTACGTACGGTAAGTGAAAGAATCACTGAATTACATTTCTAAACTGTGCATAATAGTACAGCGACTTAAGCTTATGTTCAAACCCGTTACAGAGGAACCTCGAGTTACACACGAGTCTTTTTACAAACTTTTTACGTTACACACACATTTTTGGGGGCTTCTAGTTACGTACATGTTTGGCAATGTGAACTTTCTCAGCATGGATGAGTGGACGAATCAGTGTTGTGCTTTTCGCGTTATTTCACTGTCATTGCCATAGTTGTGCTGTTTTTTGTTTTTTTAACTCTTAATCAGACCTCAGAATAATTGACAGGTTGTGCCTGTAAATGCCCTAAAAACACACATAAAACTCAAAGTCTCCTCTACGGCAGCAAATTGAAGGTTGTCGTGTGTGCAGCTGTAAGTTCCGCCGAAGCGCTTCTTTCACATTATCACAGCGGCTGCCATAAATTGTGTGTGTGTGTGTGTGTGTGTGTGTGTGTGTGTGTGTGTGTGTGTGTGTGTGTGTGTGTGTCACAAAAAAAGACAATTAGAAAATGGACAAAATTGTAATTTTGGAAGGTGACTCTTTTTCAACGGAGGAGCTGTTCTCACCTTCTCACTTCATTAGCGTGCTGTTATTAATTCCATTGAGTATATTTTCACTTTTTCCGATCCGCTTTATCCTCACAAGGGTCGTGGAATGTGCTTTAGCCTATCCCAGCCGTCTTCAGGCAGTAGGCGGGGGACACACCAACAACCATCCACGCTCACGCTCACACTCACACCTAGGGACAATTTGGAGTGTTCAATCAGCCTGCCATGCATGTTTTTGGAATGTGGGAGGAAACCAGAGTACCCAGAGAAAACCCACGCAGGCCCGGGGAGAACATGCGAACTCCACACAGGGAGCCCGGAGCAGGGATTGAACCCTAGACCTCTGCACTGTGAGGTCGACGCACTAACCACTGGACCACCAGGCCGCATCTTTATGATATACTGTATTTATTTTCAACCACACACCGATTAAAATTAGAATTAAAAATGTTTACCATAGGCTTGAACACAGGACACAGTTGCAAGGTCCAGAGTAAAGGAGATATTTATGTGAGGATCAGTGGCTGAAAACTCAAAAACTCAAGGCCCATTTTAACACAAGGTAAGGGGCAACAGGTTAGAAACAATCCGAGCGGAACTGACAGACTGGCACAAGAGGAACGGCAAGTGAACTGAAACTAGAGAGGAGAAAATAAAACAGGAAGTGACAAGACAAACACAAACCACCCTCTCCGCGGTATGACACACAAAATGGAAATCTGATGTATAATTTGGGGGCTGGAATAGCTGAATTGCACTTCCATTCCTTTCAATGGGAAATTTTACCTCGATTAACGAACCTTTTGAGTTGCAAACGGGGTCACGGAACCAATGAGGTTTGTAAGTTGAGGTACCACTGTACTTGAATGTGTTAAGAACACTTCAGTTGTGTTGAAGTGCATTGGCATCTCATCTTTTTGAAGCTGTCTAGTATTAAACTTTTAACTGCAATACATTTTTGTTACATCAATGATGTACTTTTATTCCTAGCTTTAAGCGCAGTGTTGAAAAAGTCTTCCGAAAATGACAGTTGCTTTTTATAATATGAAATGTACATTGTGGGAACAAAAGCTGATGGTGGTTGGTGTGAAAAGTTTGAGAACACTCAACTTAACCAGTTCTTCCTTGTTACCTTAGCTTTGGGCCACTTGAAAGATCTGATACGATTGTGATGTATCGTCACTTATATCCGTCATCCCTGCATTACGAAAGGCAGCTCTTTGTTCAACCCAAAGACATCATTACAGGAATTTAGTGCTTTTTTTTGCAGGGGGGGGGGGGG